TAATTCATTCTGGTGAATAGTGTTATCAATGATAATGTTTTCATTAATAATCAGTTAAATAAAAAAAAACAATGTTAAACCTCATGCTCAAAAGTTAATAGCAATGTCGAAATGGCTAATTTCAATGATTTTCTCATAATGTTTCTTTAACAAAAATGCCTATAAACCTTTCTCTAAGCTCACCTTTTAATTGAATCTGTCGACATCTTGGTTTTGTAATTGCTCCGAAGGGAAAAACGACGTGTTCAACTCGTCTCTCAGATATGGAAGTCCGTTTCGAAAAAAGTTGTTCACCCTATTTTACCTTTTCGTTCGTTTCTCGCTGTTAATTAAGGCCCCCTTTATTTTAACCTATTTTCCAATATTTTTGTTAATTTATCAGAGGTCAATTGAAAGGCGACAATAATATACGAACAAACATTTAGAGTTAAAAAGATTACATGATTGGTTAGAGCGCCAGGGTACAGTAGAGGTCCTGGGCTCGAGTCCCGTTTCAATAATAAAATTGATAAATTAATTACAATAGCAAAATGGATAAATGAGACAAATAATTGTTAAAATGAAAAGAGGTAGTTGGTTCACGAATACAAAAATTATTTACTAAATATAAATAAATTATTGAAAATATACATGTTCGTACAAGTTTAGTTGATCAAATATTGTGTTAACGTTCCGTTGTTAGGAACATACAATTGGTCATTGGTAAACGTAATATGTCACATCACTAGTATATGTAAGATAAAAGGTATTTAAAAATTATTTTCATGGAAGTAATTAGTCCTCCACTATATTTCTGAAACGTTCCCCTTTCAATAGTGAAACCTAGGGAATCCCCAGATATAGCATAGCGCCCATTTACACTGTCTGCGATGCGACATCCACAAAGCTGAAATCGCAAAATAAGAAGCTTTCATTGGCGGTGAGACTATACGTCTTTAACTTGGTTCATTCGGCAATTGCTTCTTTTTCGTGGCAGTTTAAAATGGTGCAGACGATTTTCAGCACATTTACATATTTTTGCATCACAAGTCATATGAACATTCAAGGTATCGATTTGAAATCTGCCCTTCCTTTAGCACCGCATCGCATCGCGAACACAATATAAATGCCGAGTAAAGACAATACATGATGAAACGATACAAAATCCTTCCACGACTACTTGACAAACGACCCAAATTGTCACTGCCCAACAAAAGACAGACTGTTCAATACAACTCCATACTACCAATAGAAATAAAACGACTAGAACTCAGACAAACGCTCGAGCAACCTCGGTATTCAAACCGCTCAATCAAAGATTCTTTGGGAAAAAAATGCACCAGTTTATGTATCAAATCAAAGTACACACTAAGATTTATATGTTGCCTTTGTTCACGAAGTAACTTTATTTCACTAACATAAATTTCACAAAAATCTTCGCATGACTATGTGACCTCACCTCGTTTAGAGGCAGAAAGTCACTACAAGAAATCCTGAACCGATTCGATTAGGAAGATTCAAAAGCTACGAATAGTTACTAATAAGTATAAATCTTTTATTACTGCTATAATTTCAGATGTAACATAAACACAGCTCTCAATAAAAAAAAATTAATTACACCTTGATTATAAAACACCCAACACCAAATTAAAACAAAATAATTTTCTCCGCTATTAAATTTATACAACTAAAAGAATAATTAAAAAATTGAGATAAAAAATGAAACAAATTCCTGTGCTATTGATACCGAAACTTATGGGTTAAAAGAATAATGAAATAAATCTAGGCAAACAACGGTTTGAAAATCATGCATATATTTACTAGTGCCGTCTTCAATTCAGTTCAGTCTCCGATACACCTAGGTGTCTAGCCGGGCGCACCTTATCTTAACTTCTTCTACTACCGTGTACTTTGTTGAGGTCCTTTATATTTCCCTACATATTCATCGACCGGGCCGTGACAACTGCATGCCCGTGAATCAAAAACCTCATCACACCATATAACTTACTATCCTGCCCGTTGACTGAAGAAACGGGGTCCTAGAGATCTCTTAAACAAATGACTGCGAGAATGAAGCAACTGAAAAAAATCGTATAATCTATGGATCTTCTGGACTCTATGTAACTTATGGACCGCTACCAGTGGGTTGTTTACTTTTACTTGTTTTTGTCTTGGCTTCTAAATAGTGCGAAAATACAAAAAGTTCGAGGTTTTTCAAAAGAGGCTTAAAACTCTTCGTTTTAACCGTTTGACTATGGAATATGTAAAAATCTTATGTTTACCTAGGTTTCTTCTTTGCCGAGAAGTTCCGTCTTGCTTGTGATCATTTCATTTCGAAAGTAAATTTGGTATTTGCCAATGTAAGAAGAATCCTAGTTACTTCTAAATCCAATTCTGGGGTCAGTAAATTAAGATTATTTGATGCATTAATAAAGTCAGTTTTAATCTACGAGGCTAAAATTTTGGCATTGCCCTATTTAGATAATTTTGAAGTAATCCTCACTAAGTTTGTCAAAAATCAACCAAATTATTTTGTGAGATTAGAGTTGAACTTGAAGAGTATTAAATTATCGATATTTAAAAGAGCTATACAATTTTAGCTGTAAAAAAATAAAACTATTCAAATAAGAAAAAATAAGGAATAAATAAATAAAAATATTTTTATGCAATCATTATGTAAACTATTTTGAAAAGCGGAATAATTTACTCCGATAGTCTAACATCTGATTAAAAATGACGAGATGAAAATTTTGAACTATTGATTTGTATGATTTCTATTGCCTGTTTCATGCTTTCTGGTGAATTTCGAGCGATTTGGTTTCTAGTTTTACCTTCAATTCAACGTTGCACCGTTTGTCTGCATTGCAAACTTCTCTTCCTTTACGGGATGAACAGGAAAAGTAAACCGTGCGGAATTTTAATAAGAAACGCGCCGAATGAGGTGGTAATTTATTCAAACAACGGAATGAAACGCAATTTCGAGCAGAGGGAAAGGTAAACTAAGTCCTTGGGGCGTGAGGATAGGAAGGAACGGTATTTACTATCAAAGACCACAGGAATGCCTGGATAGGGGAAAAAATCCCTGTAACGATCACGCAACACTGATCCGATGGGCAGGTACGATCCTCGATAATCACATGTGACGGATGATGGTGAACGGTGTTGACAACACAAAATCATCTGACAACGATTGACGCCCCGATATTGAGAAATTGTCATCAGGTCTAAAGTCTAATATCCATACAATTGGACCGCCTAAAGTACGCAAAAATGATCGTGTTGAAGACTTGTAATCTAGAATATATATAATATGTTATAAAAACCCTGGAATAGCAATATTATATTGCTCCTGATTCTGTAGTCGACACAGTTAAATCAAAGTAAAATGATCTATTGTCGAAGCAAAAAAATTATGCAGTTTTTAATTCAATTCTAATCCATTGACTTTGAGAAAGTACAGATACCCTTCTTTTCCCAAGCTGCCTTACATAATCCCCTAATCTCCCTTTTGACTGTGTTTCCTGGCCACCCAGAAAGGTTTTCCATTACTCCATAGAGTACGTGTTTACGTAACATCATCACGTCAAACTATAACTAGATCCATCATCCACGTTTATCATCATTAACATATACTAAAAATCACCGTGGGCATCATACATGCTATATGGTAATACTTCACTGTATTTATTATCTCCAATATTACCTGTAGAAACATACCTCATCAAGAGAAGGAAGCATACTTTATATGCAATAGTTTGCATATCGGGGCTATGATATAGCATATATGATTAACGAACACTCTGGATCAATGTATGGTTTAAAAAAAAAGGAAATTTAGTTGCTACTGCCAAGCTTTCGACCTATTTTAAGGTCATCATCAGGGAGAAATAAGTCGAACGCTTGGCAGTAGCAACTAAATTTGCTTTCTTCTTCAAGATCATACTTTGATCCAGTGTTCGTAAGTGAAAAAAGCGGTCAATACTTATAATACTGAAAACAGATATATGATTAAGTAATGTACTAATGCCGTTAATATCAGAAACCCACACGGTTTCTACTTACCACTACCTACTTGAGAGCTATTTCAGAAACCGCAATATCCAACGCCGGTTGCAGCGTGTCCCTTCATTGTAAAACAGTCCACCGAAGAGGAGAACGATGACAACGATGATGCTTAATCAACGACGGCATTTTCAAAATGGCTTATCTTTGATGAATCATCTGTATAACTATAGGCAAACTATAGTCTTTGTCGCAGGAACGGATGAGTTGGTATATGGATGATATGGAAAATATGGTCGGGAACCATTCTCTCTTACAATGGATTTTGGAGTGTATTAGTAGAAGTGACTCAATCTCGGATTCCAATGCAGTAGGTTCCATTTATAAATTGCCTCAATCACAACATACCATTCTGGAAGCCCCTGGAGATAAAGAACTGATGACGAATCTGAGGAAAGTATATTTAATTAAAAATTTGAAAAATAAATACAGTTTTAATATATTCAACATAGTCGTTTTTAAAATATCTTTGTAGAAGGACGGGTTTTCTTTTCTGTTTTTAGTTGGCCTTGTGAAAATCACATCTACCATGTACAGATTATTGCTCCTATTTTATATAATTTCCTACTTTATTTACGACCTAACTTTGTTTTTTCAGGGACACGACATAGTCAGGAGCATTATGAAGTCATTGTAATGGAAAATTAGAAACTTCAATTATTGTATTTTTGGTAAAAATTGATGATAGGAAAATTTCTGGGAGTAAATCATTAAAACATGTAATAATGAAGGAAGCGTTTCCTATGGGATATGGTGTAAGTATTTGTACATTTTTGGCCATGGCTATTCGGACTTCAAGAGGCCGGTAAGTCCTTATACCCTCGAAGTGATACCAACGGCATTTTCGAGCGGTCCCGGAAGCCGCGGGACTTTGACATCTTCGAGGGCCGAAACGAAACGGAGGAAGCAAAGGAAGGGGCGCCGGACCCCACTTCGACCCGCTTCCATGGCGATTCACGTGGTACCAGTCTTTTCAAGTGAGTCCGTAGGTGAGGTTGTGAGGGTTTGACGCTGAAAAACGTTGGATTCGATCTTATTTTTTCATCTACACAGACTACGTAAGTTATCGTTGTTTAATTTATCTATAAGAATATTGCTAGAGAAAAAAAAATTGTGCAGACAATTAAATTTTCAAACTTTTATCCAAATTTATGGAAGAAATTTAATTTATTTTAATTCATAAGACACATACCGTATTATATCAGACTAATTTTTCATACACCAACGAAACCTAATTGAAACAGTTTTGTCGAGACATTCAGGATTTTTGTTTGGACAAATTTTTATTCATATACATCTATAAAAGGATAAATATAATATGAATTAATTATAATAAACAAATGTATAAAATTTGTTTATTATATTTAATTCATATTACATTTATCCTTTTATTGATGTATATGAATAAAAATTTGTTAAAAATATAAATCAATAAAAGGATAAATATAATATGAATTAATTATAATAAACAAATTTTATACATAAAATTGATTTCAATCACCCTTCAACAAACAACTCTATTTAATACATATTTATAGTATTCAATAATCAAATAATTCTGTACACATCATAACATGATTAGGATAAGTTTTCTTAAAATATAAAATCACGACAAATAAACGAGGCTCAAATAAAATTCCAGAAAAGAAAGGAGTGGTTTCTTAATTTATTCTGCATTATATTATTTACCACAGAAGTAAAATGGAATTCCTATAAAGGTTAAATAAATAAAATAGTTAAGAACCGTAGAAAACAGTTTAGTAAAATTACACTTAATTTTTTTTTTGACAATAAATATTACAAAATTTTCAATTCAATTAAATTGCAACGACATGAAAATCTAAACATTCTTCGGATTAAGTAAGACAAAGAAATATTTATCGAAATGTTTTAGTAAAAATAGTATTCTTAAAATGACATTATAGCAAGTAATAAAAAAGTAATCAACGATGATTTGCTATTACTTGATGATTCCAATTTTCCAAAATTTATTTACAACTATGATTGAATTGATTGTTTTTTAAAATCATGTAGTATGTTAAATTTAAGGTTTACTTAAACATTAAATAACTCATTGTCAAAGAACTAATTTAGCATTTAATGATAGAAATGTGTCAAAAATTGGTGAATATTGTCAAATTTTTTTAACATTTACAATTGATACAATATTTTTAATGAAATAGTGGCAGTAATAGTTGAAATTTTCATGTTAGTATTATTTTTCAATTATGCTAAACTGGGATGAAAATACTTGGCTTTCATTGGTTATTCTATCTCAATCTACGTTCGAAAGACCACTACTGTCAGATTTTTTGAATTATGGCATTAAGAATTATGATTTTTTTTCGAAATAAGCAAAGATTGAGTTAACTATCTGTTAAACTGACGGGCCATCCCTCATTAGTGATTTATGGTATTGGCCAAAGCGTTGAGGTTGCCACTGCCCCAAGACGGCTCCGTACCGGGCAGGGAGTGCATTTAGAAAGGGAATCGTGGTCCGGAGATGTTCACGATCCACTTGACATTTGAGGGAGTTGGCCAACTCGGTTCTTCCGATAGGTCATACCATCCCTTTCACTGTAAGAATCGGCAAAACTCGCGGTAATGGCAATTTTAACCGCCGCCGACGCCTGCCCGAATCCTCACACGCCCCGAGGGATCTAGCTTTATGGAAATGGCGAAATATTTCAGAATCCGTCTGTCCTTTTTTCAAGGATTGGATCATTGATGATTGCCAGTTCGCCACGATATGCGAAACCTACATTTTTGTTTAGGTCCGTTTTGAAAATATTTTCGCACGCACGGAAGTAATCGGTCATGATGATATCATAAAACGAAAGAGCTTCTTTTTGGCAATAAATAAAACAAAGCTTAACTAATATACTACTTTTCAAGTTTAATCATTTTATTTTACTTTCGCGCATCTCTTCTTTCTCTTTCACTCTTGTCCTTTTTTAATATAATATTTTTTCCACAATAGAAAATATTGTAAAATAAAAATTTCGATATATACTAACCAGCTGGACGTAAGTGTCATTAGACAGAAATTCCAAATCATTTTTTATAATGTAGCTATATATGTATATTCGTAAATACAATTTTTGTTCTGTTCTGTTCTGCCCTTTATTTCTAATTCCCTATTTTTCTGTCAGAGTATGCGTGAGAAAGAATAAAGAGGAAAAAAGAGAGAACTATTAATATATGTAGATAGATAGAGAGATAGACAGATAGATAGATAGATAGAGAGATAGGTAGATAGATAGATAGATGGATGGATGGATAGATTGATGGATAGATAGATAGATTGATAGACAGAAAGATAGATAGATAGATAGATTGGTAGAGAGAGAGCGAGAGAGAAAGAGAGAGAGAGAGGGAGATGAGAGAAAGGAGAGAGAGAGAGAGTGAGAGAGAGAGAGAGAGAGAGAGAGAGAGAGATATAACAGGATTTTTACACAGTGAGAAATAGAATGTTTATAAATTCTTTATTAAATTAATACATTTCAATGTGATCTTTCAGAAATGTTACTCTCTTCAAACATCTAAAGCATTTTGGCCTAACATTTTCTTGCGATTTTTAATTTCACCCACCTGTCAATGAGGTTACACTTTAATTCAGATAAATCATCATTTATGTATAGATTCAGCACAATATGCTTCATCTTTAATAACCATTGTTTCTGTTGAAATCAGATGTTTCTTTAATCGTATATTGTCACTTTTAATAACTTTTTTGTATTAGATTATTTCAAGTTTTTTCACTTATAGATAACAACTATTTTATAAGTTTGTACTCTATATTAATTATTAACTGAGTATTATTGTTGAGAATCTCAAACGGGATTAGTTTATCTTGAATAGTTCATTATTTTTCTGCACTGAGCAAACCAAAATTTCATTTTCTAGTTTTTGACGTTTGACAGGGTTTGAAAGAGCTCAAATGGATCTACCGAACATACTTGGTTCATGAGGCAGGGCCAGTGGACCATTTAAACCTTTCAGGGTTCACAAAGCAGATAACCGGCCGTGACCTCTTACAATGTCCCCTAATTGTCTGTGTACTTCGGTATGTTTTACTTTCCGCGTGTTGTAGTTATCGCTAATTATGCAATAAAATAATAATAGACCAATAAAATTATTATTTGTAAATCAAATAATGTAGAATAGGTAAAATGTCACTTGTCTTAAGAGTTAAGAGAGTGGAGCAATCAGCAGTTTTATCACGTCATGTCATTGTCAGCATAAGTTTCAGTTCATATTTCTAATCTTTAATTATATGACTCATACACATATCTCACATTTCATGCATACACTAGATACATAAAGTAACAACTAGTAATACGTTTTTATCATCGATTATTATTGCCCGTTGTATCCACCAGTTTTTAGGGCAAAATCAAATTAAAAACTTTACAACAGTTGAAAAAGTTTTATGTGAACATTTTCATGCTAACGACTGCAACTTCGACAAATAACGAAGCAATAACAAAATTATATACAAAACCCAGGAAACAAAGAAAACGTTGGTATAATTAACGATCATTTTTCTTATGAATAAAATATTCACAAAGTGATAATAGACAATTTGGTTGAAAATTGGGAAAATTTATTTAAAAGAAAAACGTCGTAAACTCTTTCTACAAGCAGATAAGTCCATATATTATAAAATCCATCTCTTTCAAAACAAAAATAAAATAAATATAAATAAAAATCCTCACTACGTAAAACTACGGGGTGGAATATACAAACATCTGTTAACTTTTCATTATCGATGGGGCAATTTAGTTAAACACTGACACAAAGATTTGATGCACTAAATAAAATAATATCTATCAATGGCAAATTCTTAGACAAAGGGACAATTTTTTTTGGACAAATTAAAAAATGATTCGCTTTTTTTTAAATAATTGTCGATAAATTAGTTCATAAATACGTGTTATAAACACAAAATCTTTTAAAATAAAATAAAAAAATAAAAATTATATCTCCTACAATATTTGACATGTTTTGACCATAAGTTGGTAGATTGAGTTAAAGAACTTGTACAAAATAGTTGTTCACAAAAGCACGTAAACTATTCGAACTATAAATTTTGTTAAATTTAAATTATTGTTCTTTAATCACGTCCAATATTTTGTCGACAATGGGCTTTCAATTAGACGGCTTTCTACAAAATTTTTTTATAAATTTGTCACAAATCATTGTACAATGTTAACCACGGATGAGAATATGTCAGTCCAAAATGTTACCCACAAATAGCTAGCAAATTTGTTCAACCATGCAAAAACCTAGCTCACAAAAACGAGATAAAATCTTGAGATGGTCAATTGGTAATATTTGCTTCAGTTCACCTACCGACCTCTGCCAAACGTTTTCTCGTATTGTACAGGTTGAAAGTAATTAACAATCGTAAATAAAATATTGCGAACCAGAAAAACAGCTCAATCGCTCGAATAGATCGTAGTTGAGTAGTTTGGATTTAAACTGTTCGGCGTGAATAACAGCCGTGATGAAGGTTTTTAAAAAAGATGACCCTAGACGAAAATCGGCCTAATTCAGATTATTAAATTAAATCCCCCACCAAGAGTGATATTTCGTTCGATTCGTAAGTGTACAAAACCACGTCTGATCGGTGTTATTATTGCAGTAATGAAGGCCGAGAGGCAATCTGGCGACGATTATCTATCGGGCGTAATTCCCCGGAGCTATCCCCAATTCCAACGGGATATAATTCACGGGTGCTATAGCCTCCTAAAGCAAATCGACGGAACACCAAGCACAAGTGTGTTTTCCAATTTTCTAAACGTTTGTGGAAATTTATATGATTTTTCTAGAACAGAAAGAAGTTACTGAAACCCTAAAGGACAATTCTTTAAATTGTCTGCTTATCTGGGCTACAAAACAGCACATCGTTTCCCCGGTTTGTAAAAAAATATACAGGGTACCCTAGATTTAGCACAACATCTACATTTCAAATAAGACCTACCACTTTATGGCACGTCACCAGCATTCTTCACGCTTGAATCCTCTCCTCCTTGACTACTTTTTTTAATTAACT